AGCCTTTCAGGTGTTATGACTCAGTTTCTTTTTTCTCAAGCTGCAGATCTCAGAGAAGCATAGACCCCTGGAAGTTCTAGATGAAAAAAATCTTTTGGGGAATCCTTTAAAAATGACCCCATTTAGAATTAATTTGTTTCAACTCTTCTTCCTACCAAACGTGCTGTCAGATCTTCTTGCCTGTATCTCGATTCCCTCCTTCTCAGATGTCTGAATATAATTCTAAGGCCTGGGTTGCTTTCCCTCTGCTTCTTTTATGTCCCCCTGATTGCACTGCAGAAATGTATACTTTGTCTCCTACTCATTTCCCTTTTCTATTACTACTTGTCCGCATTCCCTTCTCCCTAACTTTTCTAATTCTTCCCAGTTTGGGGAGTCATAATTTGTATATACTGAAACTGAAATTTTGAAAAAAATGTTTAAAGATAAATTAAAATAGTTAACAGGAATAGCAAGCACTCTGTGACAATCACTATTCTAAGCACTTTAAATTTGCTGTATATATTAACTCTTGCAATCGCACAAAATTCTATGGGAAAGTACTATTATTATTGTTCCGATTTTACAAATCAGGGAACTGAGGCAAAGCAAGGCTAATTTGCCTGAGATCACCCAGTTTACTAAATTGTGGAGCCAGAATTTGGACCCAGGAAGTCTGGCTGCAGATTCCACTCCCTTATCACTAGGCTAGACTGCTTTTTCAGAGAGGAATAACTAAGATTTGGTCTGAAGCGATCTTAAGGTTGTGGAGGGATTGCTGTATTGTAGAGTTCAAAAGGGGGAAAAAAGATCAAGTAGAGAGGAAGAGATTGGAGATGCCAAAGAGAATGATGGAGATAAATTTGGTAGACAGTGACTTGGAGGTAAGAGGGGTCATGAACATCAGTGAAGGGAGTAGAGAAGATTTTTTGTTTTCTTAGGGTTGAGGGAAGAAGTAGAAGATAAGAGGGAATATGGACAAAGCTTTTTAGGGGAAAAGGGAGGTGGAGGGAGCTCCTTTTGAATAACTTTGTGGTAAAATCATAGAGAAGTAGGAGGCAATATCTGATGAGAGGGAGGAGGAGGGTGACTTGCAGAGTAGAAAAGGGTTGGAGTTGCTGCTGCAGGGAATTTAACAGGGAGTCAACAAAATGAATAAAAGGATACTAAGTAGCAGTGGGCGTCCAGCTGAAGTTAGAATGGCTTGAATTTGAACAGTCAAAAGTCTAAGATTTAAAGGGGAACAATACATATGGAGACAGATGGACTTTAAAGATGGACTTTAAAGTTGACACATCTCCTTCTCCCGTAGAACAGTGCAGTTAGGGGTATGATATATTGAAAGTTGGCAAGTGCTTATACTTTCTGAGGTGCTTTAAGAGTTTCTTTTTATATTTCAGTTAGCAAATTTTCATTTTTTCTTTAAGCATCTGATTTTTAACTGTTACTCCTTCAGTTTTGGCCAGTTGTTTTCTCGCTCCAGTGGACCCCCTTCTCCATCTTTGCCTCCCTTGGAACTCATCTTTAATTTAATGTTGAACTGAATGAGAAAAAAGAATTTATATTATAGAAGGTCATTTTATAGCCAGTTTCCTAGGAAACCATATATTCCATTGAGTGGGGTATACCTATAGGCTTTAGCCTGTTAAACTCTTGATTATATGAATGCTTTCATTTCACATTTATTGCCTTGCCCAATCAACTTCCTTTTATTGTTTGTCTGAAAATGAACCTTAGAGGGCTCTTGAGAGGTTCTGATTAGAGGCCATATTAGAGGCTGCAACCTCAGTCATCTGAGGGTTTCAAATAATACCATTCGTTACCTTGGGTTTTGCTTGAATGCCCATTCTAAAAACCACCCCCTTCAAATGGTTCTTGATATTTCGTAATCCTGAATAAGACTGCCAATATATTTATTTATTTTTAATGAAAATGGTACCTGCTTTCACTGACAGTGTGGAACAAAGTAGAATGTTTTGCCTAAAGTCACAAATGAGCAACCTCCCCCTCCAAATTGAGCATGAATTAGGAGTAAATGTAAATTGCTAATTAAATCACAGAAGATTATAGCATTTCAGTGTATGAGAGGCTACACTTAGGCCCCAAATCATTCCACTGGAATAGTGGCATCTAGAACTTCTTGTTCTGATGAGATATGATATCTGCATTAATTTTGTTCTTATTTTCTGGAGTGCCTGGAATTCATACACCCTGAGTATTTATGTAGTTTTAGTTTGGTGCCTCTCTCCATAAAGAGTCATCTCCCAAGGGTACTCTGTTTACTGCAGCCTTTATGATTCTATATTGCTTCATGCAGTTCCAACTTACAGGGTGTTGATGTGCAAGGCTTCCTTGGGCCTTGTAGAAACCCAGACTTATTTAGAAATCTGTTTGGTTTATGGAAGACGTTAAAGTCAGAAAGGGATAAAAGCAAATTCTCCATGTGGAATTTGTCTCAATCTCAAAGCCTAGATAATAATAAGAGAAGAAATAGCATAATAGAAATAAAGTAATCAAAATATCAAGAAAACCCAAGGAGAAAACACCTGGTCTATTAGATCTAAATGACTAAATCTTTAAGTTACAAGTATCTCTTATGAAAATTACCAAGTTTATTTTCTAGAAGGCTGAAAATGGGAGGGAATTCAAATAATGAAGCCAATGGTCTTTTATGTATTTCAAGCTTCCAAGGGACTTTAACCCTTCAATGATCAATTTTAGTCTCTAGTATTTCTACTAGAATTTGAACCTTAATCTCTGGTAATAATTAAAATATTACTACATATCTGATAGATCACATTAAATATATGACATATCTAGTTTGAGCCTTTTCAAAAGTTGTTTTCAATAACAAAAAGTAACTTTTGTTATTGAAAACAACTTTTATTTTTCAATATTACAAATAGTGATTGCAGCCTGAATGTTCTACCTTTCCTTTTTACATATCAGAATTTCTTAAATTTGAAATATTGAAACATCTGTGCAACATCCCATTTCTGAAAACTCCAAACCACTCTGTGAAAAAAAAGGATTTGATAATGTGAGTGTAGCAATACACAGGGAGCACAGCTTGGCCTTAGGATCTTTAACGCAGTTAGAGAAATTTCTAAAAAAAAAAGAAAAAACACCCCAAAACCTTCCCTTTTAAAGTCAAACTTATTCATCTCGAAATTTCAATCACACTCAGTTATCAAAGTTGAGTTATTTCAGCACACAGCTTAATAGACATTTCTGTCAAAACACTTGTTGAACACAATTTGGGATTTATCTTTAAAAAACCTGGTAAATACCAACATTTCTATTAGTGCTTTCCTATTCTTTTCTGAAAATCTCTACTTTTCAGAATAATCTGATAATCTTTCTGATAATCTTTCTCAATTGTCCTTTTATGTCCCTTCTTATTTTCTTTCCACAACAGTAGCAAACTAGCAAGAACAATTCAATGCCTTTTGTGGCTGCACCCATTACAGTCTATTATGTTAGAGTCACTTTTCACCGTTATTCCAAAAGCAACTATCATCATAACTTCTTAGCATTTTGACTCCATACAATTAAAAATTGAAACTTTAAAGTGACTCAAAGGATAGTTCTTACTACTTGGTTGATGAAATGATAAAAGGAGAAAAGATGTTGAAGAGAGAGGTTGAAAAATCCAATTTAGGACATTTATGTCTTACTAAGGGAGGGAAAAGAAGCCCACTTATTCCTACTCTTTGATACTGCTAAGTACAAGGAGATCTGAGTAAAATTCAGTAAGTTGCTAAAATTATTTACATTCTGTAAGAGTATTGGAGACGTTGTCTTAGCTGTATCATTGATAACCTTTTGTAAGGAAGCAAAAGCATGGATTTCACTTTCTGAATAACAGCCTCTAGAGGAGAGGAGCACAGGAAAGGAAATACCTAAGAATTGAAAGGTCGACAAGGAGTCTTCAAACAACTTTGCTAGTGATCTAACCACCATATGATGTGTGGAAAAGACCATGCCTTTTCCCTGGAACATACCTTGCCTAGACATTTTGCTTATTATGAGCTCTTACAGTGCGTTTGAGGGCACTTGACAAGTGGGGAAGGAGGAATCTTGAGCTACACTTCAGGACGTGGAGCTCTAATCACTGAACCATCCAAGCCCACAGACAAGGGAAGAAAATGCAGTGTTATAGAGCACAAACCCTGGCTCTTCTCTCATATTCTGTAATGACTGTCTTGAGACATAAAGGAACTTTTCTTATCAATTTTAGCCGAGTCTGTTCCAGGATAGCGGCGGAAGTTCCGTAAAAAGAGGCGTCCGTCCGCCACCCAAAAACCAAATCGGCCTGTTTCCGAAGTGTTCACAGGCTCGCTGTGCCTGCTTATTGTCAGTGCATAGGAGCGGGTTAGCAACCCGCGACTGTGATTTGAGTGTGATATTGGACGCTGGTTCCTCTGTGCACTGGATGTGGGAGAACTTACACCAAGCGCGCTAGATGGGCTGGAGAAAGGCTGACTGTTTACTTCTGAACTCACTGGACTCATCCTCTTGGAAGCTGGGCGAAGACATTTCTTAGCTCCCGCAGAGTTTGGGAGCAATGTGCAAATGGATTTGGAGCTGCCACCTCTCTTTCCTCGACTGAACCCGGGTGCGGGGTGGCAGCAGATTGGGGAGAGGCACAGTGTGGAATCCCCCTTTGTGTTCCCACCTCGACACTCTTGGGGTGCGGAGGGGAGGAGTTCGTATCCTAGGCCACTTTGAGAGCTCTGCGTAATAATTGGACGTTCTCTCGTCAGACTGCTAGGCATGAAGCAGAAGCACCACACCGCCCCCTTCTCGGGCTCCATCCCCATTCACCCGCTGGCCCTGAACTGCCTCAGGTAGCCGGGAGGCAGGCCAGGAGTCTCCACCTCCTCTTGGGCGGCAGCCATACGGCGCGCTTGGGAGCCGAGGGTTGGGACCCATTGGCTGGGGGGCGCTGCCAGTCTCGGGAGGGGGTGTGGTGGGGGTGGGGTTTCGGGCCGCCACTGGTCTGGGCCGCTGACGGTTTGCTGGGTGGTGGGCGAGCGTGAGCCTAGCTACTGTAGAATTGCAAACAGTTGGGAGCAAGCGAAAGCGCGCCAGAGAGAGAGCGAGAGAGTGAGGGAGAGAGTAGGAGGAGACCTAGAAGAGACAGGGAAAGAAAGCGAAGGCCTGAAGACCAACGATTTGAGACTGAATGACCATGGCCGTCTCCGCACCTCCAGTGATCTCTGCAACTTCCAGCGGCACAGGCGTCGCAGGGGGCTTATTTCGGGCCGAACCCCTGTACTCGACTCCTGGAGAGCCTCCTCGTCTCACCCCCAATATGATCAACAGTTTCATGGCTAATAACCACAGCGGCAGCGCGGGGGCTGGCGGGGTCGGTAGTGTCAGCGGAGGCAGCGGCAACACCAACACCAACGAGTGCAGGATGGTCGACATGCATGGGGTGAAGGTAGCTTCGTTCCTGTTGGACGGCCAGGAACTGATCTGCCTGCCGCAAGTCTTTGATCTCTTTCTCAAGCACCTGGTGGGAGGGTTGCATACAGTGTACACCAAGCTGAAGAGACTGGACATATCTCCGGTGGTGTGTACTGTCGAGCAGGTCCGGATCCTCCGCGGGCTGGGAGCCATCCAGCCCGGGGTCAACCGCTGCAAACTCATCACCAGGAAAGACTTTGAAACTTTGTTCACCGATTGCACCAATGCCAGGTGAGATACTCGTTTCTTGGCTCGCTCTTCCCCCTTTGCCCTCTTCTGCATGTCTCATTCTCATCCAACTTTGTAGGGAGTGAGTCTTAACTAGCTTGCTGTACTCTTTACTGTGTAAGACGGTGGGGAAAGAGGACTGGAAGGACTCATTAATTTCCTGTCCTTTCTAGTCCGAGCTCAGTGGCAGGGCTTGGGTCTAAGAAAATCCCGCACAAACTTCAGTTTGCGGTCCTGTACTGAAAGTTTCCAGCCTTTCTCCCATATCTTGCATGGCTTTCTGGCTGCTTGTGGTTATTTGTTAATTTCTCTATTTGGTTTTCTTTCCTGCTCTTTTGTGGCCGTACGGGTCGGATAGGTTTTTCTCCTGAACACGGACACCAAGGGCTTTCTGGATGAGTGGGCTGGCTGAGCTGTAAACTGGGCTCCTAAGCTGGCAATCCAGAACACAGCATTTGGGGGATGCAGAGGGTCGGAAGTCTAGAAATCCCAGAGGGTGATTCGTTCCCCATCCTGTGTGTTTGTTGTGAGAGTGCGTTGGTGTGTGGTGGTGGTGATGGTGATGGTGTGTGTGTGTCTGGGTGTGTGTGTGTGAGAGAGAGAGACAGAGAGAGAGAGAGAGAGAGAGAGAGAGAGAGAGAGAGAG